CAGTGGTTCGCACCATGCACTTTAATCTTGAGAGATAAATCTAATTCATTTAATGTTTTTGAAAAAATGTTCTCCATCTATAATCATGTCTTTAAGAAAGTATCTTTGGGAATCTTTTGAGTTTTCTATAATTAACTCAGAAAGAGACACTGACAAAAGGTAGAAAATTTAAACAAAAGCCGATATGGAAGAGAGACCATACTAAAGCACCACCGACCCCTAAAGTGATTTTTATACTTCACTTATTTTAATAATTTTACGTTGATAATTATATAAGGAGAATTTTATCTCATAAAATCTAAAAGTGATTTTTTGATCCAAAATGACATGAAGCAATCACTTTAAAATTAGAAATTGATAGGGATTGCGTTGGATTGTTTAACTTTGGGAGGTCAAAAGACATTTGTTTCTCTCAGAAGTCCATCAATGACTCGAACCTAAGAGAGAGCCTTCGTGCCTCCGAATTGTGCATGCCACTTTGCTTTTCGTAAGCGTATACGCAATTGTGTCTTACGTACGTGTAGTGGCAAGTGACCCCCAGCACTAGCTATTTGTTTCTCTGAAACTTTGGAGAATTCGATTTAGAGAGTTCAACCTCCACAAGAAAATATTGAATTTAGTTGCAGATTTATTTCAAAAGTTTTTATAGGTATCGATTTTTTTTTTACTGCAAATTTGTTTCAAAAATTTAAATTTATAATAATATTGTCTATTGACAGTTAACATTTTAATAACAGGACAATATTGATATAATTTTAAATGTTTAGAACAGTTTTGTACTTTAAGAATTTTTGTTGTGCCAAAGGCTCTTGAATAAAATTTCAAGGGCAAATTTGCATCTAAAGCCCCTGAAATATTTATTATTGAAGAATATTCGGATATATGAATTCGACGCTTGGGCATTTTGTGTCATTATCTTGTTGCGAAGAACTTGGCAATTGGCATTTTGTGGCAGTAATTTTGATTTCAAGGCAAGTTTTTGCCTCTTCTGTTGACAAATGTGGTAAAAACTTTTAATCCTCAAATTAAAATGATACTCTCTTGATTGAATTTTGAAGCCTAGCATTCGATATTTCGATGGGAGAGATTGCTATTCTACTGAGAATCTAATTAACTTTCACGAGTTTTATTCCATCCAAGGAAAATATTTCTGTCCAACGCTCAATTGGATTAGGATGCATGAATTTTGCAATAGATAGTTACCTTTTTTTCTCATTTTTGAAATTATAGAGAAATTATTTTATTGCCATCCACACCCTCACAATTTTTAAATAAGATGATTATTCTGCCCAAATCAAAGAAAAAAAACTATATTAAATTATTAATTTTTGTCACGCCAACAAACAAGACTGAAATGGTATAGGTGTATATCCCCTAATTATCTTTTTAGGCTAAGAATAAGATCTAGCGTATAGATTAATTAATAATTAACGAAGTAGATTACGTGACTTACTTATCCCCTCACGAGTCAATGAAACCCCCAAAGAGACACAAATTGGACGCGTAAACAACGCTTGTAATTCATGCCCAGGACATAAAGAGAAAGGGCTCTTCTTTTTTCACTGGACAATTCTTTATCTTCTTCTTTTAGCCTCACTCCCTTGTCTCTGTTACTTGCTCCTCAAGTTCTTCTCAAACTCCGTTTAATACCATCATGATTTCCCACCAAAAGTTCAAAGCTATGCTTTCCAGAAAATCATTTTTTCTGAAACTCTAGCCTTAGTTTGCCCACTTCCTCAACTGGGATTTTGTCTTCCATCACCGCAATGATTGTTTACATATCAGTTTGGTTCATTCTTCTTGCAGTATTGCTTTTTCTTGCGTTCTTTTTCCTTCGGGTGATTCTGTTCAAAACTGGATTCATCTATACTCTGAAGAAATTATGGAGGACGGTTGAGGACTACTTTCATGTTTACCAGTTCTTCAAAGTTCCAGAGCTCAACGAGAGCTTGAAGGAGAATCAGCTTTACAAGAAGGTCTCTCTCTATCTGCATTCTCTGCCTTCCCTTGAAGACTCTGACTTCACCAACCTCGTCACTTCGTCAGGGAAGAAGCAGCATGACATCGTTCTCCGCCTCGACCTCAAACAAACCATCGGCGATGAATTTCTTGGAGCTAGAGTGTTCTGGTTCCACGAAGCAGAACAAACATGTGAGTCGAAAAACAGAACGTTAGTACTGAAAATCAGAAAAGCCGACAAGAGAAGAATTCTCCGGCCTTATCTCCAGCACATCCACAGCGTTGCCGATGAAATAGAGCAACAAGGAAAACGTGATTTGAAGCTGTACATGAACGCTGGCACCCAATCCATAGGCGGCGACGGGAATGTCCGGTGGAGATCTGTTCCGTTCACGCATCCATCAACCATGGATACCATCGCCATGGAAACCGATCTGAAGACCAAGATAAAATCCGACCTCGAATCTTTCCTCAAAGCTAAACAGTACTATCAACGATTGGGTCGGGTATGGAAACGGAGCTTCCTTTTGTACGGGCCATCCGGTACCGGAAAATCGAGCTTTGTCGCTGCCTTGGCCAATTTCCTCAATTACGATGTATACGACATCGACCTTTCCAACGTCCCTGGAGATTCCGATTTGAAGCTGCTGCTGCTGGAAGCGACGCCTAAATCGATCATCGTCATCGAAGACCTCGATCGGTTCCTGATGGAGAAGAAGTCGACGGGTGTGAGTTTGTCAGGAGTATTGAACTTCATGGACGGGATTTTGAACTCGTGCTGCGCAGAGGAGAGAGTCATGGTTTTCACGATGACCAGTAAGGATCAAATCGACCCGAACCTGCTTCGACCGAGTCGGGTTGACGTCCATATCCATTTCCCGCTTTGTGATTTTGCATCATTCAAGACGCTCGCGAATAGCTATCTCGGTGTGAAGGACCACAAGCTGTTCCCACAGGTTGAAGAGATTTTTGAAAACGGTGCGAGTTTGAGCCCTGCCGAGATAGGCGAGTTAATGATTGCGAATCGGACCTCACCCAGTCGAGCTATCAAGTCGGTGATCACCGCGCTGCAAACGGACGGCGATGGTAGGGGAAGCGGGAAAATGGGGCGGCGGTCGGGGGAGAGCAACGCCGCCGATGAATTGGAAGAACGCGATGCCCGGTCTCCGTGTAGCGAGGGTCTATCTACAGTGAAGGATTTACGGAAACTGTACGGTTTGTTCAGAGTGAAGAGCAACGCGAAATCTCAGTCGTTCGATGTTGGGGTGAGTCCCAGGTCAGAGCGATGGTAGGGTGAGAATCTTACACGTGTTAAGGAAGAATTGTCCATGTGGATAGTGGATGCAAATTAAAAAGGCCGAAAAGGCGTTTTCTGTAACCCGGCACCAAGACTCGGCACGTTTGATTCGTTTGAGTGCAAGATTTTCATTTGTCATTTTTAGGAGTGATTTAGAGTTAAACGTTTAGAAGGGGAAAGGTAATTTAATACGTGTATTTAGCAAAAAGGGTTAGATTGATTGGCCAAAGAAACAAATTTTCTAGTTTTAATTTTGTTTTTTCAAATTTCTTTTCCTTCCACTTCAAAGCACCTCTCACCATGTGCCAGACGAAGAAAGGATCTCATTGACTGAATTGCACTTGGTACAAATCCATCTATTTAATGCCTTTTATAAATCAAGGCAGATTTATCAAATCATATCTAGTGAACTATAAGAAAATTGCTGCTCAAAAAAAGAACTATAAGAAAATTGATCTCATTTTCTTTTGAAAAATAGGTTGATTTAGTGTATGCATTCTGATTTTCAAGTATTCATGAATATTAAAAAATTTTACTAAAAAAAATCTTCCTAAAATTTCAGCTTGCATTATCATATACTATTTCTAGTTCTTAATATGAGAAATAGTTTAACACTCAATTTGGTCCGAAATATAAGAGCTCAGTATATTTTGTCTCTCATATTTATTTGATTTTTAAAAAATAATCATAGTTGCACATGTTAAATATTTTATCAAATATAATTTTGACTAATATACATAATCAGAGGTATTTTAAGAAAGACAACATCTATTTATTATAAATAACTAATTTAAATCATTTTTTTAATCTACTTAAATTAGTCAACTAGTTATTATATTAAATATAAGATGTAGTAATTTGCTTTATATATATACTTAGCCACAGCCAGAATAACAGCATGGGAAAAAAATCAGAGATGGAGATAACATCCCTACATGTGGCAGCTCTCATACGAAGCATTGAAAAATAAGGGGTACGGATTGAGATTATGGATTAAGAAAATTTATTAAAAAATATTTAGTATAAGTAATTGTTTTTTTTACCTGGGATTGAGTAAATCTATGTATGTGTGATTGAGAAATGTCATAAGAAAAAGTGTTATTCCCCAATCTCACTACAACAAAAAACCACTTATACTAAATATCTTTAACTCTTTTTCTCAATCTTGATTTTAATTCTTAACCCCTCATTTTTAATCTTTCATCCCAGCTAAGAGTTTGAACCTATGTGGGCCTCATCGCAGCCCATCCTCGTCCTGTTTATGTGCACGAATTTGGGCCCAATTATTGTTCCTGAAAGCGGCCCAACTGAGAAGCTGGTCACAATCACGTGCGTTCGTAATTTTTTCCAAAACTCACATCAATATTAGCATTAGTAGTAACTTCAATAAGTAGTCCTCGCTCACATTGAGAAAGGCAGTATTTCGAGAATGAATTTCATGCAAGAGTTATCCCGCCCTCTTCTTTTCAAAAGTATATTTTAGCTACTTCAACGATATTAAAAAAATACATGATAATCATTAAATGTGTAAAAATCTTTATAATTGCTTATAATTCTCGTGCCACTTAATCTTTTATAGTTGAGAATATTAATGCTTCAGAGAACAGAGTATCTTTTCTTTTCTTCCCTTGAATACTCAATGCAAAGACATAAATAAGGAGAAAACAACAGAAAAAAATTAAAATAAAAAGACCTATAAACTTATTAGGTAAATCATGCACCATAACATCTTTGCACAGGATGATTGAAAGAAAAACAAATTCTGGATTCCAATGCCAATCAAACAGAGTAACAAACTAATTTATGAACATATTTATTAACTTCAACTGGTCACTATAAATATTATAACTAGTTATAATGTGATTTTTTTTATGGCAGAAAATCTGTTTCCAATCCTTTGTTGTAAGTTGGTGCGTCCATTAACTCTATATTTACGCCTCCAATTAAAAATTCATAATTTTCTGAAAATAGTAAATGCTCTTAAACTCTGAGCATGAACAGCAATCTGCCTAGATGACATAGCAGAGCACACTCGTCAAGAAGATGGCTACACAGACGAATTTTGAAAGAGGGGGGAAAAAATGCCAGCTTTTCGCTGCCATCAGCACGAACAGGAAGATAACTTCTTCATCTCACTAATTTCCAACTCAGGAGCTGTAATTACATCAATCTTGGACCCCTTTAGTGTGGCCGCATTATGAGCACCATGACTGGCGTTCCCATTCGTGAACTCCAGTGCTTTCCTGGACACAACCCTGTTGATCTCTTCCAGCAATTTGAAGAACGCAGATTCCACGTTCTCCCCACTGAGCGCCGAAGTCTCCGAGAAGAAGAGGCCCTGCTCCTCCGCGAACTCCACCGCGTCCTCCGTAGACACTGCCCTCAGATCCACCAGGTCAGCTTTGTTCCCTATTAGCATTATCACTATGGAGTTATCCGCGTGTGCTCTTAACTCCTCCACCCACCTCGCTACATGATCAAACGACTGCCGTTTGGTTATGTCGTACACCAGCATTGCCCCTAATGCTCCTCTGTAGTATGCACTTGTCACTGCCCTGTACCTATCATCACCAGGAAAATTTGCAGTCACAATGCTACATCCTACTCAGTTTGAAGTGTTACATAATTTATCTGAGCACTGATGAATTGTGATTTCAAGAACTGGGCGTGATCTGTGTGTATAACACTATCGATATTGTATACAAAAACAATAAATCTCTTCCACTGATCTTCAGAGTTCTTACTGGACTTACAACTCTGAGGAAGGGAAATGTAAATACTGGGAGTCTAGTCAACAGCTTGCGTTTGATAAAATGCCTCTGAAGTCTAAGGTCTATCTGGCATTACATTGCTTGAGTAAAACAATCCTCTGGTTGGTACTATTACAATGTAACTTGGGGAGAGATAATTCAAATATTAGGAGTTAATACTAACAGCATGTATGATTTTGATAAAATGCCTCTAAAAATCCAAGGTCAATTTGGGATCAAATTGTTTGAATATAATAATCATCTACTTGATACTATCTGGGAAACTCGAACGCAAGAGGGATTGAGATGGAGAGAGAAAGAGAGAAGGGAGTTGAACCTTTCCTGGCCAGCAGTGTCCCAGATCTGAGCTTTGATGACTTTGCCATTGATGGTGACAGTCCTAGTCTGAAACTCCACACCAATGGTGGACTTTGAGTCAAGGCAGAATTCATTCTTTGCAAACCTTGAGAGTATCTGGGTCTTGCCCACAGCAGAGTCCCCGATCACTACCACCTTAAAAACATAATCTATTTTCTCATGCCCATTCTCCTGAACCCTTTCAACATCAACCCCATTCATTTCCTGGTTCATCTTCCTTCTTCTTGACACTAGCAACAACTTGATGCTGAAGAATGATGGAGCAAAGAATCTCTGCTTTTTCCCTTAGCTTGACCAAACTAGACGCATAAATCTTGACCTTAGCTGAATCTCTTTCCTTGCAAAAAGACACGAGTTTGGTCCAGGAAGGATTTTGGTGGCGAGGAGGGTAAGTAGGAGCAAGTAGAGGGGAAGAGGGAAGAGGTTGGGAAAAAGTAGCCAGACTGAGTGCTGCTGAGTTACTGGTGGCAAAAGAAATAGGCAATGAAATGCGGCACAGTCCTTGTCTCACTTTTATTGCTTTACCAAATCATGGGCACCATGCATTACGACACACATATATTATTTTGTCACTATTATCCAGAATTATTGGCCTTTACGGAGATTTTAGTTCAGGTATGGCATGTAGGGCTCAATTCCCATCATTTAATATGAACAGCACATACATATCAACATTGTCATTTATCACACCAAAATGCCTGAAGGAGATGTGGTGTTTAATATCCCAAACACTTCATAAATTAGAAGTTGTTAACATCCATGCTGTATAAAATTTAATTTCATATGAAAAGTAAATTAAAGAGAATTCTATTATAATTTTTAAAACAAAAGGTAGCATAATGTAATTTGGAGGTATATTACACTTTATGAAGTGACATATGGTTGTTTGCTTAAAGTTAATGGGTTTGGAAGTTACGTCACTGGGTGGTGGAAGACTTGGAAAAGTGTCAACAGTTCACATCAGTTTGTTCCTAATTTCTGCCGTAATCCATGGATTCATTGCTTTCCTTTTTTAAAGTTCTCAGTCTTATTCGTGACTTTATGTTTTTAATTTTGAAATTTCATTCTTCTATTACCATTGGTTAGTCTGTCTGGAGTGGAACCCCCCCCCCCCAAAAAAAAAGAAAAAGAAAAAAAATCTGATGACTAAAAGAGTTTCTTACTTTAGTTGAATTGCATGGTTGAAGCAAAGGAGAGGTTGAAACAACTCATGATAGCGACCAAGATTTATTAACTATGTTCCTTAGGTATAATGCTGTCTGCGTCTGCTTAGCTGGTTCTGTGGTTTCCAAGTTGAGTGCCCATGTGTGTTATTTGCAAGGAGTTATTAACAAGTCTTCAGAATTTGATGCTGCAAACGAACATAATTATACATGAAATTAATTTGTTCCGTTCTGTGATTTCTCACTTGGAGAGGAGCTTTAATGTTACTATACCACAAGATTATTGACTCATGAGGACTTGTGATCATGCTGTAGTAGATAGAAATAATGGGATTTTCTAAGCAGGATCAAGATGTTCAGCCTGTTTTAATTTGACATAGTACTAAAACTATCCCGCAAACACTTAAACGAGGACGTTTTGCGACTCAAACAATTAATTTGCTTTTTACCCTTTTTTAACTCCAAAAATAAATTAGTGGTCCTTGCCTCTCTAGTCTCTATGTCTCACTGAAGAACAGGATGTCGTCAATTCTAAGATACAGGATGTATGAGATATTTGGGGTCTTTTTTTTTTTTAAAAAAAATATTTTAGGAGGTAATTTTTTTTTCATATCTACCTCGTATAATGTAAAAATATTTTTTGTGAGTAATCCAAACAGTCTAAGGGGGTGTTTGGATAGAAACCAAACCATGGTTTCAGAAGTGCTTTTACGGATTACGAAGTAAATATGTGGAGGAGATTACCTCGTTTTGCGGAAAATTGCTTCTGAAACCATGGTTTTGGATTTCCCAAACACCCCCTAAGAGTCTAGTAAGAAAGAGAAAGGATGGAGGAGCACTTTTTTTTTTCCTGTTAATTTTTTTTTAAAATTTGAGCCACAAAATATATATTTCTCTCATATTAGAATTAAATCTTTCTTGAAGTGTTGAAGGCAAAGGAAGACCCCAACCACTTAAGAGATAATCAAGTGAACTTTATAAGTGTTCCACTGGTCTTAGCATCTGTTTACTTATTTTCCGAAAAAGAATAAAAAGGAAATAAAGAGCCTATCTTTAGGATTAGCAGAGTATGGGCCCTGCTTGCTGCAATCGTATTAAAGAGATCATAAGATTTTACTCCTTCGGTTCTAATTATAAGACCCAATTGACTTATTTGAGGAGATTAAGGAAGTAAGTTAAGTTAGTTATTTATAATAAATAAGTGTTGTCATTCCTAAAATATCCTTACTAATTAAGTATATTGGCTAAAACTATCATTATTAGAAGGATTATCTTGGAAAAAATGCATAAATATAAGAGACAAAATGGATTGGGTCTTATAATTAGGACCAAATAAAAAGTCAAATTGGGTCTTATAATAAGGATCGAAGGAGTAATAAATTTGGCTTGTCCATCGGGTCATTGCAATGACCATCAGACACAATTCAAGAAGAAAAAACATTCATAGAAATATTGGTCAAGTCCTTCGAAGGACAATTTTGATTATGCATACCAATAAAGTGATAAACAGTGCGTTTAATAAATAAAATGGCACAGCACATCAAATCAAATTGTAATATAATGAAACGAATATGGAACATGTAAAATCATAAATTGCACAGAACAGCCCCTCTCGGTTGTTCTCTTTCGTTTGCACCGACAGAATTAGCGTAACCTAATATGAAGGCCCACATCGACAGCAAGATCCAACTTCTTCGCACCTACTTACCCCACGCCAAAGTCAAACGATTCGTTGACGAAAAAGCCTAAAAGGAAATCATATCACCACACCATTTTTTAAAAAGAAAATTAATTTTAATTCTTTTGCCTCAACTCAAATTTTATTGATTCAAATAAATCGTAAATTATTTAATTAAAAAAATAAATTATTATATTCAAATCCATGTTTAAAAGGCCGTAATTTTTTTTATTTTGCTTCCTTTGAAGAATTTCAAAAAATAAGAATAATAGTAATATATCTAAATTGTTTGAACCATATACGAAGAAAAAGTGAAATTCTTCAGCTGGAGCATTAGCACTGATAAGATATGTTCAGTGAAAGAATCTAAAAAAGTGTTTGGGTAATAATAAAACTATAGTTTCAGAAGTACTTTTATAGTATACGGAGTAAATATGTGGAGAAATTTACCTTAATTTATAAAAAAAAAAGTGTTTTTGAAAAGTAATTATGAGTTACCCAGACACTTTTTAAATTGATTGGAGTCTTTATATATACTAGTCTCTTGATTCAGACGCCTCATGACTCAATTGAACTATCTATATGCTTCTTTTGCCCAAAAGTGGATTGGAGCCTCCTTTTTACGGGGAGCATTAGGTGGGTAGAACAATAGACTTTTCTTTTGTACGGAATAATAATTGTTTTGATCCCTTTAATTGAGCTTTGTCAGTTAAGCCTCAATATTCAGATAAATATCTTTCTCTGGCCTAAAATGATATATCTTTCATTCATTTTGTCTTTAAAAAAACAATCGTTACTGTGTTCTCTGCCTTGTTGTATTATAATCTGATGATTAATATCCTTCAACTGAGATCTCAGTTTTAGAGTCTGGATCCTAAAAGAACAACGAGTACTTTGAAGTTTGAACACTTTTTTTCTACTTTTACTTCAACATTTCCAAACTCTGAATATCTATTTTTAACGTGCATAGGAGTGTCAGTGCTAGACATAAGCATTCTTTTCAACAAGATTTAGACATTTCTTCTGGTAGATTCAACTCTAAATATTTGCTGTACCTACGCATTTAGGAATTAAACTCGTACTAATTACAACATGTTGCCAAAAATTTAGTAACAAAAACTTACCTAGCTTGGTAAAGATGTAACGCCTTTCACTCTCTCGAAGTTGATAATGGAGACATCTGTAACTTTGGAGGCCTTTCTTCTTTAAAGCACAGTCATTGTTACAGATTCCATGAGACAATTGTCCGTGTAATTTTTCTCTCTTTTTTTCTTTTAAAGTTTCTTTAAAAGCAACCTCAGGCTGTCAGACACACCAAAAAAAAGAAAAAAACTTCAAAAGCAGTCACTGTCACCAGAGAATCTTTCATAAAAGAACACTTTTTTTTTTTCGGGTGAACCATACTTTTTTTTTTTTCGAATACAAACAGGCAAGTTAAGACAACTTGTGAAAATCAGGAAAGGACTCCCAGACTGAATTGTTGGGAAATATCATCTCTCATGAACGAGAGGCATCCTGGGTGTGCATTCGGCAAAAGTTGCGAATTACTTCTCAGGTGTTGAGCATCTTTAGCAAGGAAGTCTGCACATCTAAGGGCTTCACGTGGTGCATAGCGCAATTCAATCTCCCAGTCCGAGAAAAGAAGATTTCTGATCTCGTTGATTTCTGATCTAAGAGGGTGTCCGTGCCATCCATCTTTGTAGATTAGATTGAAGGCTTCCATTGAATCAGTATATGCAATGATCTTGTTTAGCTTCTGCTGTCGGCAAAATTGTAGACCATTAAGAAGAGCTAGAATTTCTGCAGCCGTGGGTTTCATGAATCCCAGTTGACGCTGAAATCCAAAGATCCATTGGCCCGTAGCATCTCTAATGAGTCCTCCACAAGCGGCTTCTCTGTTGTTGTTAACTGATCCATCTGTATCCAGACGCACATATCCCTCTGGTGGTGGTTGCCAGTGGTAGACATCCAATTTATCGAGTTTGAAGACCTGGTGTTTTAGCTGTCCATAGATAGTAGATTCCATCAGGTTAGCTAATCCATTGTGGATAATATCCTTTGCTTGGTGTCTCATATTTTCCATGACTCCCCTGCATCTGTTTTTCCAAATAAGCCAACAGATCATACAGAACACACGAGTCCATATCCACCTGCCGAACCGTGCATTTCCCAAATTATGGGACATACATCTCCTGAGCCATACCTGCAAATCAGAGCAAAAGAAATTGACAAGATGGTTAGGTTTAATAATTTCAATCCACACATTCCTGGCTATCTCACAGTCACGAAGGATGTGTAAAGTGTTTTCCTCTCTTAGACACTCGAAAGGACACTCAGCATTGTTTGTTAGGCCTCTCTTAGCTCTGAGTGCGTTTGTGGGGAGTCTATCATGAAAGACTTGCCAAAAAAAAGAATTTGACTTTCTCTGGAACAGGGAGTTTCCACACTTTTCTCCAAGGGACCGCCACTGAATGCTCCACATGTGTAGAAACAAATTTATAGGCTGCTCGAATACTAAAATTACCATCTGAGGCAGTTCTCCAGATAAATCTGTCTTTTTCATTACCTGAGGGGGTGTGTAGTTTGGCAAGGGTGT